TTAGTAAGATCCCATTTTCATTACAATTGGGGTCTTACCTTGACTTAAAGATGAAGTCCATGCTATCCTTCTGGACAACAATCTCTATTACTTTTTTGTAAAAGTCCTCCTTATCTTCCTCTAGTTTCAAAAGTCTAGTTTGTTGTTCGCGTCTCTGCGTAGAATAACAGTAGCAACAAGAACCTGTGGGCTCACTTGCGCCCCCTTCAGTGCGGCAGAGGTTATGGCTGCTTCCCCTGGTGCTTTTTTCATTGCTGTTGTATGATGAGACCAGCGAGCCTACATATCATATATACGTGAAATAAGTTATTTAGAGACTATGGATAGCGAGGATAAATGTAATAAAGGGATCTACAAACATTACATTGGTGACATTCAGTGAGATAGTGCAGGCATGCGCTTAGTGCCCGCTTTCCAGACAGTTTATGTGGGGTGACGCATTCTGAGGTGAGGCAGAGCTCATCTGTGCCTCACCTCACCCCACAGTAACTGGCTTGAGCGCGCTCACAAAATAAGTGCCCGCGTTAAATTAGTGCCCGCGCTCCAGCCAGTTACGAGAGGCAGAGCTCGTCCCTGCCTCACTTCTCATCGGTATTTGTAGTGGAGCTCGGCAAATTTGATGATGTTGACGATAAAAAGCGATTGGAATCATACATAAATCACATTTACAACATAGATCAGTGGAGAGATTTTATTATTATTACTATATAGTTTTTCTTTAGTTGTTTTTCCGTTACATTGGAGTATGACTCCACTGACTGCACGTCGCTGTAATTCACCCATTTATTAATTATATGTTTTAAATTTGATCACACCACTGTGTTTCATATCCTCTAAACCTCCAGGGTGTACACAGTTTAATACTGGCAACTTTTAATTGTGGGAAATACGAAAACGTTTTATAAAGAGACGTGCCATAGAACATGTTGCGAAACACACAATAGCCAGCATGTTTAGTTCTGGGGGGGGGGGGGGGGGGGGTGGGTGACTAATCACGGGTTTGTAAAGCAAGGCGGATGTTGTAGTCCCAAACGATAGCTGGAGATTCTGGGTAGTGTAGTGTCTTCGGAGACTGTAGTGTCTTAAAAAACTCTTTGTTTCTCTGAATCGAAGGTTAAAAACACAAAAGCATTGTACACAATTTAAACCAATCAATATTGTGTAATTAACAAGGACAAACTGATGTTTTTTAGTGGATGAGTGGGGAATATATCTGGTTTTATTATGAAAACTTCGAGACCGGAAAAACAGTTTTCACCCACGCTAACTTTACATGGAAGCTGCATACACATTATCCTGGCGAGACCTCAAATCATCTTCGTAATATCTATCAAACTATAGATCCTACATCCACTGGACGTGGATTCTAAGAGTACAATATACACTTATCGCCAGAAATCGAATCAAAAAGCATTTTAATGGCCAAACTATTCCACAATTTAGGATTTTCCAGAGAGGGTTATTTGTGAATAAACGGGAGCATGTTGTTTCTTACACGACCACCCATTATGGATACAAGCGATTTTCACCCATTTATTAATTACATGTTTTAAATTTGTACACACCAATGTGTTTCCTATCGCCTAAGCCTCCAGGTTACACAGTTTAATACTGGCAACTTCTAATTGTGGGAAAAACGAAAACGTCTTTTAAAACTACAATTCCCAGTAGAGACGTGCCATAGAACATGTTGCGAAACCCATGTGCGAAACACAATAGCCAGCATGTGTAGTTCTGGGGGGGCGTTCAAGTCCAGTTTTGGATAGTCGGCCGTGGTTTCGTTCGATTTCAAAGAGCTGTTTGACGCTCGGCGTAACCTTGGCGCACTGCCACTCCAACATCCAATCCCAGAGCTTGAAGATGAATCAGTAAAGTGTTACCGTTCTATTTATTGATAATAACAGAAAACTTGATTGAAAATCCTAAAAAAGTCTGTTTTCTAAGTGACCAATGCTCCTCTTTCCTTTTCTTTTAAGAGGCATGATCTGGTCAATTGTTTGCCCTCTAGAGCAGTGGTTCCCAAACTTGTTGTGCCCAAGGCACACCAAAGGACAAGTAAAAATCTCAAGGCACACCTATTGTGCAAAATAGCCCTTATAACACGTGTTATCACTCATATCATGTAAAATATCTGTAAATGTGCATAATTATTTACTAATGCCAAATAAAATGTGACAAAGACAACTATATTACTCGTAAAATATTTATTAACGAAATATTTCAGAAATTAATTTGAAACTTTATCAAATTAGGCTTCATCAAAGCAGCAACACACTCATTTAAACCAGACAGGTCACAACATTACAAATGAGGCAAAGGAAACTCAGCAGAAATTCAGCACAGAGAACTGTCAATGCAAGGAAGCTGCATTGTCCATGGTCCTGAACTACAAATTATAAATGTAACATTTCAGCAATCAGCATTGAAACATGTGCTATTGTAAATATTGTTGCCCACTTACAAATTAGTGAGATACATGTGCCTGTCGGGGCGCGCAGAATTTTTTAATCCTTGGTGGCACTGAGGAGATGGCCACTCGCAAGTCCTGTTCAACAGAGAGCCGTGACCTCCTGTTGTTCTTCATGTAAATCAGAGTAGAGAACTCCAACTCCAGAGATGGGGTCGTTACTAAAAAAATGTAAATATATATTACACTACTTCGTTACTATCTACATAAAGTAACTCGTTACTTTACTCGCCGAGCACGTACGAACTGCGCATGCGTGAGTGGCAATAACTTTCCTTACCTGCAGGCGGCGGTAGTGTGTATTTGTCATTCAAAACAGTCAACAACCGGAAGACAGAGAAGAAGAACAGACTACGTGATATATATATATTAGGGCCGGGACTCGATTAAAAAAATTAATCTAATTAGAGGCTTTGTAATTAATTAATCGAAATTAATCGCATTTTTAATCACATGTAAATATTTGACCTAAGAACAGTGAGAAGCAATTTTTTTCACATGGATTTTAGTATACCATTAGGCGCATTCACACCGCAGTACTTTTCCCACAAAGGTTCATGAGAACTTAGTTCATGAGAACTCTTTGAACCTGGGGGAGGATTAGGCAAATGAAGCCACTGACGTCACTTCTTCTTCTTCTGCTTTGGGTTTACTGGCAGGCCGCAAACCACTTCACGGCGTATACTGCCGCCCAAAGTCCTCGGAGTTGGGGACTGGCTTCAGTAGAAGCTGCTGCGACTCCCAGCAGCTTCCGAGTAAATCGCCAGAACGCCGACACCTCCTCATCTCCACCGCTCCCATGTTTTATTTTGTGTTGCCATAAGTTAGTCTCTCTGCGTTTCTGCGCTGGGCTAATGCTAATAATGCTAATGCGAGGATAATAAAATGGCGGCTTCACAAAACTTTTTGGGAGTTTTACGGGGCGTGGTTTGCAATCCGCCCAGCCAATCAGAAATATAGCTCTTTTCTCACAAGAGAGCCGTACGAAAGTCCCTGCTCTCTAGCAGCTCTCTGCTCTCTAGCAGGGACTTTCGTGGGGGTAAAAAGGTTCTCATGAACTAATTTTAGTACCGGCTCTTTTTGGTGTGAACGCGATAAAAGAGGCTAACGTTCACGCTAGCTTCCACGCTAGCTGCTATATGTTTTGCATTGAGGTGATACTTGAGGCTTGATGTGCTGCGGTGATATGCGAATTCCTTTTTGCATAATTTGCACACAACCGTGCTCTTATCGACGCTTCCATCCGTCCGTTTTTTAAAACAACAATTCCCACTGTTGTTCACTGTGGTTTGTTGTTGTCTGAAGTCATGAACGTTAGTTGGTGCTCCAGTATAATCGGTACGCCTGAAACTCATCCAGTGAGAAACGTTCCGCGGTGCAAAAATAAGTGCGATTAAAATGCGTTAATTTTTTTAACGCGTTAATTTTTGTGTAATTAATTAATCTTAATTAACGCGTTAAAGTCCCGGCCCTAGTATATATATAAACAAACAACCAATAGCTGTGCGGTAGCTTCACCTTAGTGTTCTTTGCAGGTGTTTGTTGAGGTTTGACGTGGTGTTTGCAGCAGTGGATAACAGCTTCTGGCCTGGACACAGTTTGTACCTCACCGTCACATTCCTGTCTATTCTTCGGACGAACTCAAAGTAATGGGCATACCTCCACCCCTCGAAAGTTATCGCTGACTCAGCCATGTTTATGCAGCACTGCACGTGGAGATGTGGACGCGCAAGTCGCGCAGATTACGTACATATAAACCTACAAAGTACTGATATAGTAAATTAAATAATTATTTTTGTGTAGTTGTATATTGCAATAATAATGTATGGTTGTCACAAAATCCCACGGCACACCCGGACTTGCCTCATGGCACACCAGTGTGCCGCGGCACACCGTTTGGGAACCACTGCTCTAGAGACACACCCAATAAGTTCACTTTCACATGGTTTCTTTACTTCTATACCAAACTAATATCAGAAGATGTATTTCTTAGTGCAGAAACATGGTATGCAACAGAGATGGTATCAGCACGTGTTGTTTGGTGGGGAAAAAAACACTATTAGCAACTTTTGTCGTTAAAATCCCATCTGTGCTTTGGGGTCTCAGAGAGGTGAGTTTGATGAACAGCTGCTCCTCTTCCTCCCTCTATCAGTGTCTCTCTTTACACATGACTTAATTAACACATGGGGGGAGGGGTTTGCTCTATTTTGAAGTGTAAATATCAGGCTGTTTTCATCGTGTTCAGCCTGACAGTCTATTCAGTCTATCGTTGCATTAAGGAATTTCCTTCCAAATGTCAACAAGTTTTAAATAAAGAGGCAAACACATGGAAATAAAATAAACAGCACACATTGTTTTTATTCTTTTTTGGAAAGAACATTAACTTTACTTGTGTAAGGGAAACTTCTGCAGCAATGGAGAGTCAGGACTCAGAGAGACACGAGGAGAGTTGGAGCTTTGATGTCAAACACTGGTAGTTTATTACAAGTATCGGCCGGAGAATTCATATCACAAGTTACAGCAGCCAGAGGTTCTGACTGCCCGGAGAGTTGCCACATCAATTCTGCCCAGCCTCCCTCTCGATAGAATAGACATTTTAACTAGTTTACAGAGAGTTAATCAACAGCTGGGAACACTGGAGATATCCCCAACATTTGGAGACACTCAATCACTTGCCTGACTCTTAGGCTCTGTGACCGAGAGTTGACCGGTCATAAAACTGAGAATGAGTGCAGCAGCACATTCTTTAAAGGAGATAACGAGTCAGGGTTGGTTATAAACGTCAACAGTTAAATATCTTGTGAGTAAGACAGAATTATTCCCTCACAACTTGGACATCTGAAGAAAAATGATGATATGTCATAGCTTTATGTCTAAATACTCTTATTGCACTTTGTTAATGACATAACACACCCTGCCTATCACACAAAGAATTGTTGAATGCAGTTTAACCTGTCGCTTCCTGCTATAAAACAAACTGAGCTACACCCTATCAAAGTATTTGATTGTTCCCTCCCCTTCACATGTAGTAACAAGTAACAAGCAACATGTTAAATGAGAAAGCTGTTCTCATTGGAGCTGTGCTCCTCATTCTCTGCAGTGAGCGAGCAAAAGCAGAAGGAGAGGAGATTTGTTGTCCGTCAGAGATTGTTTCTGTTCAGAGAAAGTGGATATTTTACCTTCTGTCTGCAGTCCGTAACTATCACTGAGAGGTGGGATGGCGCAGGGAGGAGTTCAGCTGGACCGAGAAACCTTCTCTTGTTTCATCTGTCTGGATCTACTGAAGGATCCGGTCACTATTCCCTGTGGACACAGCTACTGCATGAAGTGTATTAAACACCACTGGGATGGAGAGCTAATCCACAGCTGCCCTCAGTGCAGGCAGAGCTTCACACCGAGGCCTGTCCTGCTGAAAAGCACCATGTTAGCAGCTTTAGTGGAGGAGCTGAAGAAGACTGGACTCCAAGCTGCTCCTGCTGATCTCTGCTATGCTGGAGCTGAAGATGTGGCCTGTGATGTCTGCACTGGGAGAAAACTGAGAGCCTGTAAGTCCTGTCTTATGTGTGTGGCCTCTTATTGTGACAAACACCTCCAGTGTCATAATGAATTACATGTCTTGAAAAACCACAAGCTGGTGGAGCCCTCCAAGAAGCTCCAGGAGAACATCTGCTCTCGTCACGACGAGGTGATGAAGATGTTCTGCCGCACTGATCAGCAGAGTATCTGTTATCTCTGCTCTGTGGACAAACACAAAGGCCACGACACGGTGTCAGCTGCAGCAGAGAGGACTGAGAGGCAGAGAGAGCTGGAGGGGAGTCGACTAAACATCCAGCAGAGAATCCAGGACAGAGAGAAGGAGGTGAAGCTGCTTCAGCAGGAGGTGGAGGCTGTCAATGGCTCTGCTGATAAAGCAGTGGAGGACAGTGAGAAGACGTTCACTGAGCTGATCCGTCTCATGGAGAAAAGAAGCTTTGATGTGAAGCAGCAGGTCAGATCCCAGCAGAAGAGAGAAGTGAGTCGAGTCAGAGAGCTCCAGGAGAAGCTGGAGCAGGAGATGGCTGAGCTGAAGAGGAGAGACGCTGAGCTGAAGCTGCTGTCTCTCACAGAGGATCATAACCAGTTTCTGCACAGCTACCCCTCACTGCCAGCCCTCAGTGAAGCTACACACTCCTCCAGCATCAACATCCGTCCTCTGAGCTACTTTGAGGACGTGACGGCGGCCCTGTCAGCAGTCAGAGACAAACTACAGGACGTCCTGAGAGAGGAATGGACAAACGTCTCACTGCCTGAAGTGGAGGTTTTACTGTCAGCAGCAGAGCCCACCACCAGAGCTGGGTTCTTAAAATATTCACAGGAAATCACACTGGATCCAAACACAGCATACACACAGCTGTTATTATCTGAGGGGAGCAGAAAAGCAACACTCATGGGACAAGAACAGTCTTATTCTAGTCACCCAGACAGATTCACAAATTGTGTTCAGGTCCTGAGTAGAGAGAGTCTGACTGGACGTTGTTACTGGGAGGTGGAGTGGAGAGGCAGAGAAGTTGATGTAGCAGTCGCATACAAGAATATCAGTAGAGCAGGGAGTGGGGGTGAATGTGCATTTGGACGCAATGACAAATCTTGGTCATTAGAGTGTAAACAAAACAGTTATTCATTTCGTTACAACAATATCAACACTCCTGTCTCAGGTCCTCAGTCCTCCAGAGTAGGAGTGTACCTGGATCACAGAGCAGGTATTCTGTCCTTCTACAGCGTCTCTGAAACCATGACTCTCCTCCACAGAGTCCAGACCACATTTACTCAGCCGCTACATGCTGGATTTTGGCCTTATGGTTATGGAACCACAGCTGAGTTTTGTAAACTGAAATAGCCTGAAGTAATTTGAGGAACTCTTCTACTTCTTAAACTCATTGTGTCCATCATTGTTGCTGAGAGCTGATTGTTCATGTCGTCACCGCACAGAGATCAGAGGCCTGTACTACGAAGCCGGTTCAACATAACCTGGATATGTTTGAGTTAGCCAGTTGGCCTAATCCAAAATATACGCGTTCTCGCAAAACGGTCCTTCGACGCGGGTTATCAAGTGGATTGCTCAAGCCAGCCGTGTCCTATCTAGTTAGGTGCGCGTTCACATAAAAGGGACGGGGTTAGCAACATTTGACCAATCACAAACATGGAGAAGTGCACTGACAGCGCAGCGTCATACTTCCTGAATGAAAAGTGAACTATAATATTAGACAAATATGAAGAAGTCAAACTTTAAACATCCATGACTTAAACACTTTATCCAGGATAAAAGCCACATAGCTGCACCTGCAAGGTGAATACAGCTGGTAACAGGTTAATGATATCACTGCTCCGTCTAAGACACGAGTGGATCTGACTTTAATTACATTTGACTCGAGTGTTTCGTCAACTTAATGTGTTGCTTAAAATAATACTTCTGCATACAGTATGTGACACTGTGTTGCACGGCCAGATACGGCTCAAGAAGCTGACTCAGATAAGGAAATATATGATACATTATGATGTGATATGATGTGATATGAATGATAATGGGACACATCGACGTCTCACAGTGCCGCGGACTGTAGGCTACGTAATGTTACTTTGATCCGGTTACTTATGGCAGATATTTAAGTAAGCTTTCTTAACGCTAATGTTATAATAGTCAGATTGCTCTGAAGATGGGAGGTGATATTCTGTTCATTTTCACGTTCACACAGTCGGTGATTTTGGCCGGCCGTCTTTCCTGCAACGGCAGTTTAAACTGTATTTCCTCCGCACACTGAGCTCTGATTGGTCAGCAGGCGTGGTGCTTTCACTGAGTTGATCTCTTATCCTGGAACCTATCCTGCTCCGGAGCAGGCTAGCCGCTCAGCATAAGTTATCTAGCCCGCTAAGAAGTGAACCAGTGTCGTAGGACCGGAAATCCAGGAAGTTAGCTCGCTAAACGAAAATCCTGCTTCGTAGTACAGGCCCCAGGTTAGCCGCTCATAAATTACCATGGAGATCTAGCCCGCTAAAAAGAGAACCGGCATCGTAGGGCCGGAAACCCCGAGTTTTCCCTGAAGTTAGCCGGCTAAGCGAAAATCCGGCTTCGTAGTATAGGCCTCAGCTGACAATCAAACATTATGGGATGTGCTTTAACATCTTCTCATGAGTTGTTCTGTAGATATTGGAGTTTCTTTAGGCGGCGCTCCTTCCTGTGTCTGTTTAGCCATGTCACTGCTCAGGAGCATTTCTGTTAACCTCAACTCATATTTCTCTGCATGGAAATGTAAACTTTGCTCTAAATATTTGTTGAATATTTCTATTGATGCATTTATAAATATTTATTTCTCTTTTAATGCCTGAGTCTTAGGAGAGAAAGCATTACAATGATATTAATCACCTTTAAGATCATAATCAATAAGTAAATAAGGTATTTTATTTTAAATAGCTCAGATTTTGGTCAACAAATTGATTGTGTGAGGAACAAATACCTTTATTATTACATTCATTATTTTTGCAGACTAACTGTTGTTGTTGTTGTTGTTGTTGTTGTTGTTGTTGTTCACTGTACACATTAAGTGTTATGATGTGTTATACAACTTTTAGTTAATAATTTCTTATTTTGTTTTATTAGCTGAGATTCTGGTTGAACACATTGATTGTGTGAATGAAGTGAATCTGATCTTGTAATCATTGAACAGACTTTACTGACGGGATGTTTGATCTAAAATGGAGGTTTACATAATGAATAAAGGTGTTTAAATGAAAGGTTGTTTTGTTCTTCATTTTATGTTATCATACAAAGCTGATGGAGAAAATGTGAAACTGATCTGAGAGTAGAGCTGAGGCAGTAACTAATGTAACTGAAACATCTCAGAGACACTAAGATGGTGTTTGAGCACTAAGACAATAAAGAGGATTGATCACAGAGCCTTAAAAACTGTAACAATAGTCTGAATTAATTTGGTCAAGTTTAGTTGTGAAGACATTTTGTTGAACCAGACACACACGAGGAAACAGATATTGAGTAGTTCTGGTCTTGAGGTCATTTTATTCATGTTGGGTCAGAGTTCATGTCGCCAGTAGGTTGTTGATACGGGAAGAGTCTTCCACCTTCTTAAAGTATTGCTAAGGAAATAGTTGGCTTACGTTGCAGAGCATGCTGTAAAACGTTTCTACACCACCATTCAAAACAACATAACATAAGATATTCTTTACAAGCACTCACCTTGAAAAAATAATTACTCCCATGGATGTTACCAGAGCCATATAATAGAAGAGTTACGACAACGGAAGTCCAAAAACGGTTATCGTCACGTGGTTCATGTAGAAGAGGATCGTTCCCCGGAAGTTCATGGCGGGCAATGTGAATGCATTGATAACAGGAGATAGAATTACGATTTTTGGTAATTATTAGTGAATAAAGGTTTTGATTTGCAATATTTATATAACAAATCGATATGTGTATGTATTTACATCAATATGTTTTTAAAAATAAAATAGAATTTGCTAATATTAAGTGATAATATTAGGATTAGTGTGAACAACTAGTTTACATGTTAGGCTAACAGTGCCTTGGTTAAAGAGCCTGTTGCTGTTTATTTATAGCTTTGAATTCTTTAAAACCAATATTATCTTCTTAAACTTGTATGGTAGTCAGGAGCATCACTTTCTAATGTTTGATATATTTAGAGGGAGGGGATCTAAAGTAATGCTTTAAAATTCAGATTAGATTAATGTCTACCATTTTCTTAAAGTCATGGTAGTTTCAGTAACCATTGTAATTGAGGACACAAGTTATCTAAATGACTAATGTCATCTTTATGGCTTTCAGAAAGGACAGGAGACCGACAGGTGACTATCAAAGGACTAGCAGCAGCAGCAGCATGATGATGATGTTAAATGTGTTGCTTTAGGAACATCCATTGCAAATACATGGAATTCAATAAACATTGAATAGCATATCATGCAGTTTGTCTGTGCCTTTTCCTCCGTGTTGTCCTGGTGTGCTGTGCTGCCTCCTAGTCTCCACCATGGTTTGCTGTGCTGCCTGGGGATGCTCAAATCGCTCAGAGAAAGGAGTACGAATGTACAGCTTCCCCACTGACACAGAGCGGAGGAAGCAGGAGCAATTTCACGACCAACAGCAACAAAATATGTGATTTATATACAAACACTGCATTTGCACTTTTTCACAAAACGAAAACCACACTATTGGGAAAGCTTAATGTTTTGTTTAATACAAAAAACAGGGAAAGGCTTGAAAAACACTGAGAGTTGAGACTCAGGGTGCAGGGTGAGGGTCTCAGTGCAGGTATTCAGGCTCCATTGAATCCCCCTCTGGTTCTTGTGCTGAAAGAGGGATAAACAGACAGGAGAAAGGGTTATACACACCTATATAGCACACCTATTGGATGGGAAATTGCCTTGGGGAGATAAGGTGTGGTCTTTGTTCCCAACTGAAGTTATGGAACTTTATTATTTGTGAGTTTAACAAAGTATGACAAATGGCATCAGTAACATATGTGATATGAATTTCTATAAAGTTGTCTCACATTCTTGGTCATATTGTATATACAGTATGTAATGAGTATAACATGTCCAGTATAAAGTGTTTCCTAATACTGTGTATTCAACCACTATGGAATATGTATGTGGGCAGACACAACTGAGTTGTTCTGTGTGTGAAGTAACCTCAAGTCACTCCGGAGGCACATTTTGATGCAGACCAGTTTGTCAAGACAAAAAAGGGCAAGACTAGGCTGAGAGCAGAGGCTATACCCACCATCTTCGTGCATCGCCCTGTGGTCAAAAAGAGAAGGGCCCCTGCACCACGATTCACCCCGGGACCTGTATCTACAAAGCCCATAGCTCATGATCACAGCGATAGTGTGAAAGGTGACACAGGTATAATAAGTATGAACTCTTAGTAACAAAAGTAATATTTCTTATTTTTAAGTGGTATAATATTTTAAATGTTCGAACATTTACAGTGCCATGTCTTCTACTTACATTCGTCTCAAAGATTGAGGGAAGAAGGGAAGGGATCACTGCCCTCCACCTGCCAGAGGAGCGCAAACAACAAAAACAAGCAAGGTGTCCCGTCATGTACCTGGAAGTTTGGGTTGGCAAAATGGAGTAAGAGAGGGACTTGAAAAACCTTGGTGGCTGTCTACTCATGTTGTTAAAGTTGTCTTGGTTATAGCTCTCAATTTTTTTTTGTGCCATTTCCACATCTTTAGAAAATATGAAAAAATGTAAGTGAAATCAACCTCATCTCTGGAGAACAAACTTCGATTTCTCTGTCTTGTGAGTTTGCAGTCTTGCAGTCTTGCTCCTCCACCTGTAACATCACTGCCCCTCCACCTGCCATACAGTAGGTTACTAACAAGATTACTTATATAATACAGTGATATAATACATGTTTAGTATGCTTACTTATATAAAACAGTAGTATTAAACTTACCTTGTGTGTTCACTCTCACTTAAGTTCCTCTCCCTTTACCATCAATCCAAAATCAGCTGAGCTGCAACATTATACAGGCAGGTAATAATCAACATAATCACAAGGACACAATATGGCTCTGCTAAAAACACTCACTCTTACACGCACCAAAGTTATATTTATCTAATATTTAACTCCCTCCACCCCCACATAGAATCCCGTTTAGAAACCCCTCTTCTCTAATTCAACAACGTTGGACCAAATAGACATTAAGAGAACGGAATTTACAATTAAAAGGCTGTTCAACGTGTGTTGCTAACTTGCTTCGGTATCCTAGCTTGATCTGTTATCTGTAAACGTTCCCTAAATCTACTAATTTAGGGATAATCCACTGACATCCTTTAATACACATGTTCAATTGAATCAGATGTACTGATAATATCCGCAATATACATCTTTAAACTTCTTCTTACCTTTAAAAGTCCGTCACGAACGGTCTATTATGCTGCAACTCCACAGCTCTGCTAGCCTTGGCGCTAACTTCCGGGGAACGATTGAGAGGCTCCACGATCCGCCATTGCTGTAAAAAAGTGGTCCATTGGAGTGAACGGAGATGTCATAACTCTTCTATTATATGGCTCTGGATGTTACTAA